ATTACATTTTGTAAACAATTTAACCGTGCCAGAGACTGAAAAGAGGGACAAACTCTGGAAACTCAGACCACAGCTTGATTCACTCAGAGAAAACTGCCTGCAGGTGGTACCAGAAGAGCACATTCCATGGACAAGATGATGATACCCTTCAACGGGAAGTTCAGCAGCATCAAGAAGTATATGCAAGGTAATCTATGCTCATGGGGCTTTAAAGTATGGGTGAAAGCTGGAATCTCTAGCATGATGCTTGACTTTGATGTTTACCAAGGGAGCAACAATGATGTACGAGTCAAATCTAAACTTGGATTGTCAGGTGATGTTGTAATGAAGCTTGCCTCCACATTTCCAAAGGGTCAACACAAGAAGATCTAGGCAGACAACTACTTCACCTCCGTTCCACTGGTAGTGAAGCTCCTTGAGCAAGGAATCCATTATGTGGGAACAGCCAGGCAAGTGCATCTCCCCAACTGTAATCTTTACATGTGAAGAGCTTGAAGAAGAAGGGCAGAGGAAGCTTTGACCACAGAGTGGAGGGGAAACAACATCTGTGCTGTCAAATGGTACGACAACAGGGCGGTGACACTTCGCTGGACCAGAACCTGTTCAGGAGATTCAACACTGGGACAAAGCCGCCAAAACCTACATTGACGTTAGAAAGGCTTCCATTGTGGGCATCTACAATAAATACATGGGAGGTGTGGATTTGTTGGACTCATTTACAGCAAAACACAAGTATGCACTGAAATCCTGGTGGTGGTACATGTACATCTTCTGGCACACAATCACCCTTGCTGTGGTCAACGCCTGGCTCCTCTACAAGCAGCACAGCCTATGCTCTCAGGATGCCAAAGGAGATACTGAATATGAGAAAGTTCCAAGCACAGCTGGCTTCCTCTCTCATTACGGTAATGATCTATTTGTGCTATTTACCTTGTTTGTGATAAATCAGACTGGAATTTGAGATGTACATAAATTGATACATTTATATTCTAATCTGGCGGACACAACACTGAAAACGCCAAAGAGAGGACGGCCATCTTCAATCAACAAGAGCCCAGAGACAGGAGCCCTCTGAATAGTGGAAAGAGACCACACATGGATGATGGAAGTCCAAAGGCTCCCTCTTCTAAAAAGTCACGCAAACCACCGCCCATGGATGCGCGCATGGACCAAACTGGACGTTTCCCCCTGAAGACAAAGAGAGGACACTGCAGACATTGCAGTAAAGGGTACACCAATACCCAATGCAGTAAGTGTGATGTCCGCCTCTGTTTTTCAGAGGACAGGAACTGTTTCTGGGATTACCACTATAAGTAAAGGTGGACTTCACACTGAGCACATAGATTTCAGTGGAGAGCGAAAGAACACTGCAGACATTGCACTGTTAACAATGTAAATAAATAAAGATCTTATTTGTTGGAATAAACAACTCTTCATAATAACATGACTGAGATTATTATTCATTTTATACACTGGTTTGGTAAAAACAAAAACACTGCAAATTAATCCTTAATTATGCAGCTTGATGGGCACCTCTTCGGACCTGACGTGCTGCCCAGCTACGCAAACGCAGCTACGTGGATGTACTCTCTTGTAATTGGCCAGAGTGATCACAAGTCTCCGGATGTTTTGGTCTCGTTGCTGAAAGAGTGCATGAAGCGGTGGAAAAACCCCTGTGCTGCCAGCTTCTCCAAGCCCCGTGCTCCCTCTTTTGCCAAAACCACCATGAGAACGACCGACAACTGGCTGAAGGAAGAGCTGCAACGGGTGAACGAAAGGCAGAAAGCAACGGAGGAGTGCCTGCTCAGATGCATTCCGTTTAGTTTGCTTTTTAACTTTATTTATAGTTAACGGTTTTGATTGCATTCTTTTTTCTTTGTGTGTTGCTGACGGCATTACATTATAATTCTGGAAAAGAAACTGCAACAGGATGCTTTTACCCTACACTCGAGTATAAACACACACTCTCTCACTTAAAGCAATTTTATTCTTTTTTGCATTTCACAAAATAATAATAATAAAAACAATAATAATGATAATATTTTCTATTTATAAGGCACTTTTAAAAGGTCATTTAATAAAGTCAGCTGCATGTGGAGGCTTAATGAGACTTGGATGAAGGAACACTAACAGTTAGGAGGTATTTAAGGTGATTATAGGTTGTTCGAGTTTTTCAACTGGTCACTGTACACCTCCGTTGTTGGAGGAAATGCAAGCATTTTTCCTGAGTAAGTCCATAAAGTGTAAAGATTTTTTTTTTTTTTTTAAATACAACAGACTTCTTATTGATATAAAGGTGATAATGCCAGTCTTTCCCCAACCCTACAACCTGCGACAATGCAGGCTCACAAGGTCTGTTCCTGCAACAGCTTCTTTCAAGTCACTGTCAGGCTTGTGGCACCGGACAGTAAGGAGGGACAGACATATTTCAAGTGTTGAGTCAAGGAAGCAAAGTAAAAGCCCTAAAAATAAATGAGCAGCTCTGGCCCAAAAGAGAGTGCAAGCCCCAAAGCTTACCTCTCTTTTTTGCAGACACACTCCGGTTTTGGACTTGTGATGTGGAGGGACATTCTTGCAGGGATGACATGCTGACCTCATCTTCTGACCCCTCTTCTCTTGGCATACTGACATCTGGACAAAGAAATAACTTTATTGTAGTATACACTACATGAAATATGTAATAGCCGTCAGTGCAGTGGTTGTGTTATTTTATAAAATAATTTAGTATATTCAATTCAATTTTCTATTCAGTTTATTTATATAGCGCTGATTCACAACAGATGTCGTCTCAAGGCACTTAATAAGAAGTCAGTATATGGGATTTGTGTCTCTTAAAGAGAGACAGTTTATTTCATCCCGTCTCCTATAGTCCTAAATTCTTTTCAAGTGACTAGTGACGTGAAAATATTAGTTGTCATGTTAGCCCAGGGATGGGCAACTCCAGTCCTCAAGGGCCACTATTCTGCAGGTCTGAAATGTTTCCCTGCTTCAACACACCTGATTCAAATTAAATAGATCAAACAGCTTGTTGCCAAGCTCTGCACAATGAATCAGGTGTGTTGCAGCAGGGAAACATCTAAAACCTAAAGGATAGTGGCCCTCAAGCAGTATATTTCCTCATATAGTGTATGGACGACAGACCGTCCCACGCAGTCCACTAGTGCTGAAGTAGCTGTGCGCCGAAAAGATTGTATGTGGACAATATAAGATGAACTGATTTCATCAGACAGAAAGCGACTGTTGTTATATTACAAGTAGAATTAACGACAAGGCTGTATGAGTTTATTAGATGTCATCTAACCCGATGGCATATGCGTTTGAGCCAGTGATGAGGAGGAGGGTTGAGAGACCCGTTTTTGGTTGAGGGAGCTGCAGCGGCTCCGGACGGAGATGACAGTGAGGAGAGGGTCGGCAACCCTTTGCAGTGCAAGTGCGGTCACTGCGATCAACCGTGGAGTCTGTTTGCTGCCATGAAGCAGACTTGGATAATGTGCTCAGGGAATTGTCCTGCATCACCTAATCGCGCACATTCCAGATGTTCTGTAGTGACAGGGACGTGTTGGAGTAGCTGTGCTATCCCTGTATGAAGTCTGTGCCGAGAGATTAGAGCAACCTATAAGCAATAGGTGGGTTCCCGCTAACCTCAAAGTTAATGCTACTTGTAATTTCAGGCAGTACTGACGCAGTGTTAAGTTTTAAAACTGGGGTTGTGTTTGACTGATTGTGCAGCCTCTGCATCATACAGGTCTCCTGACAGAGTTGCAGGAGAAAGAGGTGGGTGGGACAAAGAAGGGAGGTGGAGTTGTTGATGTTGAAATTTTTGCCACGTGCTGTGTGAAATGCACGAAAGGTAAGAATTGCGTTCAAGCTCACCGGTTGCAGACACTCCCCGGTTTTGACTTTGTGATGTGGAGGTACATTCTTGCGTGGATGACATGCTGACCTCATCGTCTGACCCATCATCTCTTAGCATACTGACATCTGGAGAGGGAAATAACTTAATACAATACACAAAATATCTAAAACGGATCATTTAAAAATCAATTTAGGAACATCGTATACACATACCTTCAATGTCCTCTGCTAAAGGTCCCTCCATGTCAATGGTCTCTAAAATGGTAATTGATAAAAAATTGAGTTTGGAAAGCTGAAACTATGGGCAATCTGCAAGAGTATACAACAGTAGCATTATCTCTCATCCCGTCACCATTACTGCCCTGTTTTACATGGTAAATAGTTGTTTTCGGAATGCGGAAGACTAAATGTCATATATTGTGCCTTCAAGAATATAAAGTTAATTACCATTCACATCGACTTGTATTTCATCGAGGCTCTTTCCTTTGTAATCTCCTAGGCGTCCTTGTTCCATTGCCAGGAGGACTTTACTTACTTTGGCTAATTGGAGGGTGCTTTCTGGGAGCCTGTAGTGTTTCCTGTGAACAGCGATATTATGACCAAGGAAGTCTGCCAACTGGTCGAGCTCAGTGGTTTTGAGGTTCAGAACAGTAGACAGGGTAGCAATATGTTTCCTCAGTTGAATTGATGTTAGCGCTTGAGGATTTTTTATGTCAGCACATTCACTGACAAATTGCCTAATGCAGTCACAAGCCCTGAGGTAATGGGCAGATTGTGGCAATGCAAACAGATATTCATTGTCCTTTAGCACCCCACATTCTTCTCTGCTCTCAGTAAGAGCATCAAGTGATTCTCTCATTAATGGGGTTAGAAGAACAGGAACCTTCCTTCCTCTTTTTCCAACAATTGCTATTCGCACAAAATGCCTGCAGAGCTTCTGCTCAAGCGCTGTGAGGGCCAAATTTACATCTCCCTGTTCCTCTGATGTGTCCTTCGATAAGTATGCAGACAGGCGCATTCGGGACACTTCACCTGCTCTCCGCCGATTAAAAAGCATAACTTGAGTCAGTGTTACTTTTGCAAGTTCCTTCCAATTTGTGGATGAATGATGTTCTTTTAAATCTTTGAGATGTTGCAATGTAGCCTTTGGATATCTTGTGTAAGAGGTAAAAGTTGCGGTGCATTCCATTTGGCCCGGTTAAGCTGGGTTAATGCCTGGCCTGCAATATCAAACCTCCAACTCTCTAAATACAACTGTGCGAACTCCTCAGCATCTTTTATGGTTTCTTTATCTTTCTTTTTCAGTCCTTCGGACTTGATAAACATAGCCAACGAATGCAGGCTGTGTCCTACCTTGCGTGCAAGAGAGGGACATTGGTATATGCCACTTTCCTCACTGAATCCAGATAGGTTCTTTGCAGCTCTGACAACCTGGGAGTACTGTTCAGGTTTGATGAGTTCTTGAATGGTCTTCACATGTGTGATTTTTTTAGCTTCCAATAAAAGCCTGCCAAGTTCTCTCAGTTTTTGGCGTATATACTGGTGTTGACTCACTATCTTCTCATTCTTTTTGAACAACCTGAACCCATAATTGAGGATGCAGTTGTCTCCTTTAATTGCAACTGCAATCTTGTCCTGACTCATTACACTCAAGAACTTCCAATACGCGTCTGTATATTCCGATGGAGAAGGTTCAGCGAAAGCACACAATGCCTGAACTCTATTTTTACCTGGTTTAGTACTTTCGGGTTTGAAGCTGCAGACCTTGAAATGCCGCCACATTGCTCTTCTTGAGAACAACCCATAGCAGTGAATGCAATGTGCAAATTTATGTCCCTCTGATTTTTTTCCCGGTTGTTTACATGGGATTAGTTTTCCTTTTTGTGTTTCCAAAACATGACTGTTGTGCTCAAAGTTTCCCTTATTTCGTATGTAGTCCAATTGTAGTTTTCTTTCCTTTGAGTTTTTTGGAAAACTGAATGCTTTCGCAACATCCGATTCATCTTGGTGTTTACGCCACAAGTGTCTTGACATTTTCTGGACAAACTTCCTGCAATAAAAACAGAAATGTTTCTTGTTATAGCTTCTGGATCCATCATCTTTCTTTAAAGTTGGACTGACAATGATATACTGCTCTTCTTCCAGGGGCACTGAAACATTGTTTTCAGAATATGTTGCGATTTCCTTTTCATTCCCATCAACTCTGCTATTTGGAAATCTTCGTGCGGGATCATGACATCTTTCCAAAAGTCTTCTCTGGCTAAAGTCAAATTGGCTATGACTAGAGGATTCACTTCTACTCTCCCTGGGCTTAGACTTGCTCTGTCTGGAGGACTCGCTTCCACTTCCACTCTCCCTGGGCTTAGACTTGCTCTGTCTGGAGGACTCGCTTCCACTTCCACTCTCCCTGGGCTTAGACTTGCTCTGACCGGAGGACTCGCTTCCACTCTCTCTGGAGGATCTACTTCCACTCTCCCTGGGCTTAGACTTGCTCTGACCGGAGGACTCGCTTCCACTCTCTCTGGAGGATCTACTTCCACTCTCCCTGGGCTTAGACTTGCTCTGACCGGAGGACTCGCTTCCACTTCCACTCTCCCTGGGCTTAGACTTGCTCTGTCTGGAGGACTTGCTTCCACTTCCACTCTCCCTGGGCTTAGACTTGCTCTGTCTGGAGGACTTGCTTCCACTTCCACTCTCCCTGGGCTTAGACTTGCTCTGTCTGGAGGACTCGCTTCCACTCTCTCTGGAGGATCTACTTCCACTCTCTCTGGGCTTAAACTTGCTCTGACTGGATGATGCACCTTTGTTCTTTTTTCCTTTTCCAGGGTTAATTCCATACTGCTATCACTTTCTGTGCTTTCATCCATGGGATTTGGAATATACTCATCTTCGCTACCTGAGATTGAGTCATCCGATTCCATGAGATTTATCTGAATCTTTAAAAACAAACACACATCTGTTAATAACTATTTTTGCAACATTAAATATAAAAAACCTGAGGATACTGATTGAACAGGCTCAGGATACTAAATGAAGAAAAATCTGTATGGACCATTTTCAGTACAAGTAAATTTACAAATTAGAAGAATCCCCATCAGACTCACTAGCAAGAGCAACAGACATTTTCACAATCGTAACCCCCCCCCCCCAAAAAAAAAGACTTACGGGACGGCAAGACCTTCTTCTCAGTTTCTGTGAATCCCTTTCAGACTTAAAAGGAGTCTCCTCTGCGCTGTCACTACTTGAATCATAGAGACTGTGGGTAAAATCTTGTACTCTATCCATCTGCAAAAAGGGAGACATGGAGATATTTTGCTGTATGATTGCTGTATTTTTTTATTGATAGGGAGACCATTCAGAGGTTGTCAGGTGAGCTAGACACCTATGAAAATTATTGACCAATATTACCCCTCCATCCACCTGCTGAGGCCCATGTCCAAACTGCCTTCCAGGTGGAGTAAACGTTGACAAAATTATTAAAAAAAGAGTAACGTTTCAGTTTTCATGCATTTGATTGTTAAATTTAATGACTTCACAGCAAATGATTCATCATAATGATATAGTGTCATTCCTGTAGACATGGAACTACTCAAGAGAGAGGGAGAGATTAGTCAATAATTTAATCAGTCAGAAAAGAGAGAGAGTTGAGCTTCTCTAATAAATGATTACTGATTGATTGTTGGTGATCTCTATTTAATTGATAATTAATGCACCAGGCGAGGACGAGGACTCGACCGGATTTTGGCAACAGAGACCGGCCCTACCGGGGTTTGTCCCGGTATGCTGGCTGACCAGTAGCCTACATCACTGGGCACGTTGTATCTTTTTTTTTTTTTTTTTTTAAAGCACACACCTGCAGGTGTTTATGCCAATCCAATAGATTCAATTTCAAATGAGTCCATTTAAATTCAGATTTTAAAAGCAATTGTTCAAAACAATCGATTCAGGTTCAAAGTAAATGATTCCCATTCAAATATAAAATTCAAATTCGCTTACTAGTGGCAAAAAATTTATCACATAAACAAGTTAATTATATTGTTAAAATGTGTTTTGGGGCTTACCAGAATGCTTTTTGTGCGTCTCAGTGGTGGAACAAGTTCATCATCCGATTGATTGTTGGAATGGTTGCTTGGAGAAGCCTCATCACAAGTTTCTTTCACAACAGTTTCATCTGAATCGTACAAATGATCTGAAACATCTGGGCCAATATCATTCTGCCCTATAATAACATCCAGGTGTGGGGTGGGAGGTTCGTTTTCCATACCATCCTCATCAGTTTCATCACTATCTGGATAATCAACCAGTGAAAATCCTTGGACAGTAAATACCTAAAAATAAACAAAAATTCATTAAGTATGGAATTAGAAAGGTTGGCCAATAAAAAATTGTAATAAATTACAACCCAATAAAGGTCACCTGACTACTTTAAAGCCCCGTGAGCATTGGTCCATGGTCCAATTGACCATTACTGGGGTTTTCAGTGCATCAAATCAAAATATTTAACATCAAAATTCAAATCAAAATGCTTTAAAACATCTAACAGCTCAGACACAGTATACAATTACGAATGTTAAAATCACAGTTGAGGTCATGTCAGGTGTTGCCACAGTGCATTAAAAACAATTACCGTAAGAACTGGACGGAAGGGCCCCACATGGGTCAGACTACAGACATACGAGTGTGTAAAGGAGCGACTTGAGAAACAAATGTATTTGGAAGATGGAAGGACCCCATAAGAACATGACTGGAAACATGCCGGTGTGTGTGACATTACCTGGCCTTTAACAGCCAATATAAAGCCACATAAGCATTGGTCCACTTTAGTAATAGAACACCACCACATACATGTCAGCATAGATGAATGTGTTTGAATGTACTTTTACCTGTGTGCAGGTCTGATCTGGGTTAGGTCTATCGTTAAGCATCTGAGGAACAGGGCTGGTCTCATTCTCTTCTGCTGCAGCAGGAGTCTGAAGGCCTTTCACCTGAAATAGACAGACAAGAAGAGACTCAGAACTGTATGAAGAGACATTCACAGGCTAATAAGGTCATCTAATGGTGAAACAGCACTGAACTTTAACTGAGAGCATGGACTAAAAAGCAGCTCACGTCTATTCCAAGAGTTTGCAGTGGATCAAATCAAAATATTGCTTTAAAACATCTAACAGCTCAGACACAGTATACAATTACGAATGTTAAAATCACAGTTGAGGTCATGTCAGGTGTTGCCACAGTGCATTAAAAACAATTACCGTAAGAACTGGACGGAAGGGCCCCACATGGGTCAGACTACAGACATACGAGTGTGTAAAGGAGCGACTTGAGAAACAAATGTATTTGGAAGATGGAAGGACCCCATAAGAACATGACTGGAAACATGCCGGTGTGTGTGACATTACCTGGCCTTTAACAGCCAATATAAAGCCACATAAGCATTGGTCCACTTTAGTAATAGAACACCACCACATACATGTCAGCATAGATGAATGTGTTTGAATGTACTTTTACCTGTGTGCAGGTCTGATCTGGGTTAGGTCTATCGTTAAGCATCTGAGGAACAGGGCTGGTCTCATTCTCTTCTGCTGCAGCAGGAGTCTGAAGGCCTTTCACCTGAAATAGACAGACAAGAAGAGACTCAGAACTGTATGAAGAGACATTCACAGGCTAATAAGGTCATCTAATGGTGAAACAGCACTGAACTTTAACTGAGAGCATGGACTAAAAAGCAGCTCACGTCTATTCCAAGAGTTTGCAGTGGATCAAATCAAAATATTGCTTTAAAACATCTAACAGCTCAGACACAGTATACAATTACGAATGTTAAAATCACAGTTGAGGTCATGTCAGGTGTTGCCACAGTGCATTAAAAACAATTACCGTAAGAACTGGACGGAAGGGCCCCACATGGGTCAGACTACAGACATACGAGTGTGTAAAGGAGCGACTTGAGAAACAAATGTATTTGGAAGATGGAAGGACCCCATAAGAACATGACTGGAAACATGCCGGTGTGTGTGACATTACCTGGCCTTTAACAGCCAATATAAAGCCACATAAGCATTGGTCCACTTTAGTAATAGAACACCACCACATACATGTCAGCATAGATGAATGTGTTTGAATGTACTTTTACCTGTGTGCAGGTCTGATCTGGGTTAGGTCTATCGTTAAGCATCTGAGGAACAGGGCTGGTCTCATTCTCTTCTGCTGCAGCAGGAGTCTGAAGGCCTTTCACCTGAAATAGACAGACAAGAAGAGACTCAGAACTGTATGAAGAGACATTCACAGGCTAATAAGGTCATCTAATGGTGAAACAGCACTGAACTTTAACTGAGAGCATGGACTAAAAAGCAGCTCACGTCTATTCCAAGAGTTTGCAGTGGATCAAATCAAAATATTGCTTTAAAACATCTAACAGCTCAGACACAGTATACAATTACGAATGTTAAAATCACAGTTGAGGTCATGTCAGGTGTTGCCACAGTGCATTAAAAACAATTACCGTAAGAACTGGACGGAAGGGCCCCACATGGGTCAGACTACAGACATACGAGTGTGTAAAGGAGCGACTTGAGAAACAAATGTATTTGGAAGATGGAAGGACCCCATAAGAACATGACTGGAAACATGCCGGTGTGTGTGACATTACCTGGCCTTTAACAGCCAATATAAAGCCACATAAGCATTGGTCCACTTTAGTAATAGAACACCACCACATACATGTCAGCATAGATGAATGTGTTTGAATGTACTTTTACCTGTGTGCAGGTCTGATCTGGGTTAGGTCTATCGTTAAGCATCTGAGGAACAGGGCTGGTCTCATTCTCTTCTGCTGCAGCAGGAGTCTGAAGGCCTTTCACCTGAAATAGACAGACAAGAAGAGACTCAGAACTGTATGAAGAGACATTCACAGGCTAATAAGGTCATCTAATGGTGAAACAGCACTGAACTTTAACTGAGAGCATGGACTAAAAAGCAGCTCACGTCTATTCCAAGAGTTTGCAGTGGATCAAATCAAAATATTGCTTTAAAACATCTAACAGCTCAGACACAGTATACAATTACGAATGTTAAAATCACAGTTGAGGTCATGTCAGGTGTTGCCACAGTGCATTAAAAACAATTACCGTAAGAACTGGACGGAAGGGCCCCACATGATAGGGTTAGGATAGGGTCATGGATACATGTCAGCATAGATGAATGTGTTTGAATGTACTTTTACCTGTGTGCAGGTCTGATCTGGGTTAGGTCTATCATTCAGCATCTGAGGAACAGGGCTAGTCTCATTCTCTTCTGCTGCGGCTGGAGCTTGGGTTTTTTTCAACTGGATTGCAGATAAAGAAGAACTCATTTTAACACACATCACAGATCAAAGATTAAATGCATTTCCATAGACAGTCAAGAGTAATATTGGAAACATGGTTAATTTTGGAGAAATACAAAATTTTCTTTTGCAACAAAAAAATTTAAAAAAAGAAATCTCTATACTTAATCTAACCAACTCACCTTACAGCGCCAAGGCCATTTTGAATCACCATAGTTGTAATCAATTTCATCTCCTATTTCTATTTTCTTCAGAGAAAAAAGGCACAAATGTGGTTTGTTGTCAACTATGATTTTTTTCATAACGCAATTTGGATTTTGGTGGTTGTCATTGACCAATCTTCCGAGAGATAAATCTTCTTCAGATGCATCCAGGCTGAAAAGTATCAAAAAAATGGTAATAGTTTTACATCTTTTTAAAAGTTTTATTGAAAGAGTTATTTTCAAAAGAATTTAAGAGTATTTTTGCTTAACTCATTCATCAAGTATTAAACCTTTGTTTCAGGGTTAACTCGTAATTTCTCTAAATCAATACAAAACATCCATCTTTCAATGTTTACCATAAGTGATGATTCTGCCACTGAAAGTCAAAGAGAAATGTGCTTTCAATCTCTGAGTATTTTCTTGACTTGCATTCCTCCTGTGTGAGGAGTTTACCCCTGTACTCCAACACGAAGTCCCCGGGTTCAATGGGTTGTGTGGCAAACACTCCTCTTCCTACAATAATATATAATAATTAAACATTTCATTCTGGCTCAAAAACAGATACTACAGTATTTTCAAAGTGAGGTTGATGTTCTTGCGTCTAGTCAGTGTATTACCTGCAGACAATGCTCAGCACTCTCCCAGTTGTGATACACACTCTACAGGTAAAGTGCTTTTTTGATCAGACTTTGTGGACATAAAATGTTTTTGATGCAGACCCATCCACATCAATGCATCATTGAGGTCCTGTCTATGCTCTGTTTGGTTCCCTTAAAGGAGTCATGACCTGTAATTTTCACTTTTCCACGAGAATCAATAGCCGCGTTTCCACTGTCGGGCCAGTGCGAGCCAGGGCTTTAAACTGGGCCGAGCCGGGCTAATGGCCTCGGGCCAGGAGCACCGGGCTCAAAACCAGCTGTTGCGTTTCCACTGTCTGGCCAGAAGCTCCACAGCGCTTCACTAAAACACGCTAGGGGTGAACTAGCACAGCCCGGCTCTGGCCCGACAGTGGAAACACGGCTATTGTATGTTATGATTGCCTAACGATTATACACTGGCCGGGAAGCCGATATTTAAAAGTGAAGCGTTTGTTTACCCCTGGGTTCGTCAACCAGCCCACGTGCACGCGCACTCAAATACGAGATTTTAATTTCTGCCCCGACTTGACGTCAAGACGGGGCAGGAAATACCATATATGGACACCGCAGACCTATGCTGCAGGAAGCCCGCCCTGCCCCTCTCCCCCTCATATTCAGTCGCGAAAGATGCAGAAACGTAGTGCACACGTGAGTTGCTCTGTTGTTGACTGCCAGAATCAACATGTAACTTAAATGTGTTTTCTCTCCCAAGAACGGACCAAGCTGTCAGGGACCAGTGGATTAAATTCATTTTTAATGACGCGGTTCCTACAACCCTTCCCACTGGCTTAACGTTAGGTGTCTGTGCTAATCATTTTACACCGGAATCGTTCACAAATTTGAATGTCCAAAAAACCACAACGTGAAACAAGGCAAAAACACCACATGATAGCAAACGTTGATCTCAATAACAACTGTAAGCTGATAAAAAAAAGTAGACTACATCTCCGTTAATGTAATCTACATTAAATAAAAGGTATAATGAATGTCTCAGTCAAAATGATTGTTTTTACCATTCAGAGACATCTTGATGTAGACGTCCTTCCATCGACTCTACATCTTCCCTTTCCAGCTCAGATTCAGAGTCTGGCTCGTGCATGTACGGTTGAATTCCGTAGGTCGCGGCCAGGTCGGTTTCATTCACAACTTGCGCCATGATGTCATTTTGGAATGATATGCTGAAGTTACCTGCGGTGTCAACCCCCCTCCTTCCTGCCACCAATCAACGCGCCCCTTTGCATTATTAAAATGACCATCCATGACAGCCAAAATATCACATCAGATCTCGCGAGACAATAATGCCTTCAGAAATAAGGGTCAGAGGAGCTCTCCACTTTTCTTTTTTAGAAGGGCCTGAAAGGCTATAATAGAGCGTGGGTATCCAAGGTAATACTAAGTTATGACTCCTTTAAACTGAGAGTGCCGTGTACCATTTAGTGCAGGTAACACCAGTGAAGCGTAAGAACATCATGCAACTCAGACTTTTGACATAGACAGACAGATGTACTATACTGATCCAAAACTGGAAAAATACATTGTAGCTGCAGCAAGGCATGAAACTAAATATTAAATAGCAATATAAAAAACGGAAAGTATTCCTGATTTACAAAATAAATATAGGACACAGAAAAGCAATATAACAAACGTATATACAACAAATAGAGAGACTAGTTAAATAATGTATTGTGCAAATGAGCTTTAAAGACCCACTCCGATGATAATCATGTTTTTCGTGTTGTTAACATGTTCTTGTGGCATTTTTCTAAAGCTAGAGGACATATCTTTAGAAAATTAAGCTCAAAATTGCATTTTTGAGTATTTCTGCATTCAAATGGCTGTGAACCAATGGCAGTCACTAAAAGGCAGCCTAAAACAGACTGGAGTTGTGATGTAATAACTCTGGGGGGGCCACAAGCTCCTGCCCCACTCCGCTCAGGTTCTGAGGAGTAGAGAAGACAATGGCGGATCAACACCTGTGTGCTGTAGTGGGTTGCAGTGCAAAGAAGAGAGATATTGGTATTAGCTTTCATAATTTACCGCAGCGCTGGCTCCGCCCACAACGCAGAGGCTAATTGCTAATGAGCACAGCTGGGACACTCAAGCAGAAGATTACTAACTTTGTCAGGCGGGGAAATTATATTGCCAGATGCCTAGCATGCAACTTAGCCAAGTCTACCCAACGAACTAGCCATGACTGGTGGGGAGGATGAAGCTGCTGCCGGGAGCTTTGAATCTCAGGTGGCTATATGCATCGTTGTTGTACGGGGCTGTACATTGCTCCATTTACACTTGGTCACATAAATGTGTCGGATATAAATCCGATTTTCAACTCCTGCACTATATACTGATTTAATGGAGTTAAGATATGTGCTGCATTTTATTGATCGTCAGCTAAAATGTCAACATCAAAGAGAGAGTGGCAACAGCGCTGGTAAGATCATCTCGTTTCTTTACTTTTAATGAAGATGATTGTGTGTTAAGCATCTGCGACTTACTTTCACTTTGATTTGCGATAGTTTGCAAGTTGGCTTGATGAATAGATGCTCAGCTGCGCCGTGTTGCAGTAGCGTCGTCATATCTAGCTATAACATGACGTATAGCCTATAATAACACGTTCTCACACGTTTATTTTTGTGCATTTTTGGGAGGAGTAACATTTACATATGTGGTTTCAACAACCAGATGCACATACACTTGTCCGATCACAGAAAACATATGAAGTGAAGTGTAAACAGCCCCCGAGTGGTGGTATGCCAGCGAGCTTTGCTTGGCATAATTTAAAATGGTTGGTCGCAGAGTAAACGGTCACGACAATACTCTTCTTCTGTTGTTTGTTTACACTATGCACAAAACACAGGTAGCCTAGATCGCGCAGGAGGGTGTTTCATTCATGTTAGCTGACGACACCTTGTGTCCCCGACAGGAAAATACCCAGCTGCGTGTTCTGTGAATGTAGGCGCGGTGTCAATTTAGAACACATAGGAATTGCGCCAAAATATAACGATATTCGAAAATGCTTTTTTATGATCGAATTTCGCACGCAGTTCCGACTATTCGAAGATCGCGACTCATCCCTAACATCAACAATAATACTTTTTTGCTTTTGAAATGCACAAGTTGTGTCAAGGAATCTTCTGCAACTTACCTTTGTAACGGTCAATGAATCTCGGCATAAACCCATCCTTGTCAGTGCAAGACAGAATGTATGTCTTTGCATCGTCTATAGGCTTTTTCCTCCTCCTCCTTGTGGACATAATGGTTCTGTGAAAATAATTGTAATTCGTACTTAGTCAAGGCAAATCTCACAAAAAGGTTTTTGAAAAATAGCAAGTCACAAAAAAAATCTATTATGTAAAATAAATAAATAAACAGACATTCATACAAACACATAGACGCTGCAACAACTGTGTACTGAGCTTTGCTATTGCAAGATGCACATTGTTTAACATCAAACACGGGCTAATGAAATATGCAAATTCTGAAATGAGCACACTGAAAGCTGACCGAGCCTGTTGAAGTTAACTTGTTAGATGATAACCATGTTGTGCTGCACAGACACTCCGTAATCAATTTAAACTAGGGATGTCAAACTTAACTTCTGGTACAGCAGCATGGCGGCGTTGCCACATGACCATTGACTGACATATGCAGCATCACATCCTTCCTCATACATAAGCGCATGGATGGTTATGGGGGGGTCCAGGGTAGGCCGGTACCACCAGGATGGTGAAAACTTCCCTTAGAAGTATTGAGTCTAAACAAGCAAAGGTTTCACATCTTGCTACATTTGTTGATCAGTTGATCAGTCACAGTGATGCTCTGAAATTTAAGAATGTGTTTTTATTTGTTAAAAATGTGGGTCAATGACGTGACGCCTAAATTTTCTGTTCGACTGCATTTTTTCAGGCAAAAATGGGTTTAAATGCCTAAAAGGATACTGCATATTTGTAGTACCTCTCCCGTGTATGTACAACTTTTCAAAAACCTTTGTTTATTTGTTATTTTTTTGTTATTTAAAGTGTCAAAACATCATGTGGTGCGTAGGTTCGGCCATAACTTCTGTTTTGAAAACATCTTTGATATTGATTATTATTGAGTGACTCCAACACGGCACCGTAGCTTCAGTCCTGCGTTAGCTTCTGGCTAACCTCCATCAGCGAGTCCTGCCCGGTCTTGCTCACAATTCACAACCGATTCCACCTTTAACGACAGGACTTCACTGCACCCTGTCTCTGCCCCGCTGTCATGTCCGTGGTGACGTTATTAGGTTAAGCCAACTGCTAATAGTAATATTATGTCGCTAACGTTAGCTACATTGCAGCTAAACGAGGTAGCAAACATCACGATATAACGCCAAAATAAACTCACCATAAAAACCATGCCTAGCTTACCTGTTGCATGAAGAGGTCGGTATTTGTAAAAATATTCAGATGTCCAACCACTCCGTCTTCTTCTGTCTTCAATCTTCTATCCTTGAAGTCTTCTTCTTCATCTACTTCTTCTTCTTGTGCAATTTCCGCAGTTTTCCTTACATTCGCGGCTGATTGTACAGTGCAGTAATTTCATTGGCCAAAGGTTTCAGATTCCCGCGGTGTGTATTCGATTTCGCGGGAAGTGTATATCCTGACTTCCGGTACAAAAAGGCTGGACGATACACACCTTCACACACATACCCACTTTTTGCTACCTTACGGGCCACTTTTTAGAAATGAAAAAAAAAGCAATGGTAGCATCAGGGGAAGCTGCTGAGCTCATTTTAATTGAAATCGGAGTGGGGCCCACCATTTTGGGCCCCACTCCGATTTTGGAACTCCTTAGGTGGATGTGCTCCCACCGATGGGAACCCACACCGACGCAAATGTTAGTACACCCACACACACACACACACACACACACACACACACACACACACACAATCTTACTAAACGTATGCTCAATCATGGATCTGTGCTGTCACATACACTTAACAATGCAGCCCATCATTTATTGTAGATTAATCCTAGTTCCATACAGTGTCAGGACCTGCACTTTACCTTGTTTCATCGTCATTAAAGGGAAAAGAATGAAGCGCACGGGGTGTACACGACGAGTAAAGACAAAAGAGCACAGAGGGGAAGAAATATCCAGTAAATGGTGATATTGCGTGGGGAGACAGGGAAAACTGGGTGAGGTAAAGACAAAAAATGAATTAACCTTTGACAGATGAAAGCAACAGTGGATAAGACTGGAATACAAAAGGTGAAGACAGACAAAGAGAACAAAATGTTCCAGGTTAGATTTTAACACCTAGGTGTTCCAGTAATACTGCAATATATGATGTTAGATAGTAGTGTAGGTCGGAGGAACAAAACAGACTGTTCGAGATGGAGAAAAAGACAGGATTTGAAGCAGATGTATGAATGAAAAAGAGAAACAGGTGGACAGGAAAAAAGACCTGCAGGTAGAGAGAGATTGAAGCTTCCTCTTTTAATGAACCTTACAGCGTCGTCGCTCCCTTCCATGCTGCAGCCCCTAGCCTCTGCCCTGGCTGTCAAGACCATGTCTGAGCTGCACAGAGCAGCGGTGACAGCTATAGCAAGCCCACTTTGAAGTCTGGAGTGCAGCAACAGGGTAGATAATGACCCCCCCACACTCCTCCTAACGCCCTGTCTGCTTCCCCTCCTGGCCTCAATGCAGGGCCGAGAGAGAGGCCTAATGAGCATACTTTTCTGAACAACTTTCACTGAAGGCAAATGCATTAATTCTTGATCCGTTTCCACCCTTTATACTGCTCAGTCTTCCGAGGGAGCGAGGATGAGTCAGGGTGAGAGAGAGTCACTAATGCATGTTTCAGAAGAAAAAAACACTGACAAAGGTGGGGGAGGCAGGACACAAAAATGGCAAAATGGTCAGAGAGATCTGCATCTTTGTTGAGCAGTGTGTCAGAGAGCTACAGAGATGCACAAGTGACTACTGGATTTAATGATATCAAGGTAAGTGAGCTTCTGTCGCGTTCCCTAACAGTTACGGGAGGGAGGGGTGTCTATTATCTGGTGTAATTAATTCTGTTTACCAGCTTAAAATCGCAACCCAAGTGCTGCCCAAGGAAAGATGTTGAATACTTCTTCATTTGGGCTGTCAGAGTTACAAAGAGGAGAGGTAATCCAAATCAGCTCTGCCAAGGACAGCTGCTTCATCACAATTATAACAAGGTGTCTGCCTGCTGCATCCATACCTGAGGGACTTCAAACAGGTCGACACTAATCAATCTGTAACTCTTCCTTCCAGCAGCAGTGGCCTCACTTTCCTCCAGGAGATATTTGATGTTAACTAAAGTTACTGTCGTTGTTCCATTAGTGGGATCAGGTTCAATATGGCTAAATGGAACCCTTATAGTGAAATGATTCCTCGTCTAAAAAGCTTCGAGCAGATGCGTGAAAAGCGAGAAATCAAGTTATTGGTGTCAAAGCTGAGTTTAAATGGTGACAGATAATAGCAATTTTTGTAGATTTAGACGAAGCTCATTTTTAGTCCCGTTTCCTCCGGGTGAGGAAAAACACAATCATTGCCTCCACCTCAGAGGCAACAAACATTTCATGCTTTTTTCCCCCGCAGTTTAAACCATCTGACATGTTAGCGTAATCTTCCAACAACAGGTTATCTATGTTATTCTGTAGCTCATTTCCACGTATTTGAGTCTGTTTTATTTGTGGGAGTTTTTTCTTTACATCTGATGATGAATGGTCTGTTGTTGCCCTGAGAGATCGTTACCTGCAAGACACTGTATATCACATCAAAAGCAAACAAAACACAAACGTGCTATCAACCCTACCAGGAATTGTACCATAGGGTCCATACATCATGCTATTTTAAGGCACACACATTTCAGACAGAACAAATAAAACTGAGTCCTGAGGGAGCAACCAGTATGAAATGTCTTAAAACAGCTGCTGCTTTTATGCCCAGAGTAACCACTGTTTGTGCCGGCCCAACATAAATTAACAATACCCACTGCTTTACATGAATTGTAAGATTATGGTCTGTTGTAGGCCTATTAGATACATTAGATCAAACATGTTATCAGGACAAAATCTCCACCATCTCACAAATGGATGCCAAAATATTACAAGCCAGATTTCAGTCAGTGTATAAGCATGGATTCATGCACCTGATTGGAACAGCTTCCTACATCTTTTCTTAAACCTCAGCCACTTTAAATGATCAAGTCAAACAAATCACACACCTTTCTGATGTGATATATAGTGTATTGAAGGTAAAAATAATTTCAGTACCCATGCATACCCAGATAGTTTTGGTTGGATGTGATCAGTCTTTGAGATCTGGGCTGGACTAGACTCCCTTTTTCTTTGTCTCCAAACATTTCACTTTGGCTGCTGAGCATGTAGATGTGCCATGTGTTTTAATTAATTTACATTATATTAATTGACATGAAGGTAAATAGTTAAAACTGTTCTTACGTTTAATATGATGTATTAAATATTATGATTTATTTTAAATATTTATGATACTTTAATATGGAAGTTTTTAACATGATTTTAAGACTGAATTCATGACTTATTTTGGAAATACTGTAACTTGTATTCTTTATTATTTGGAACCATGGTAATCTTCATAACAAGAAAATAACTAAAAAAAAGACTGAAACTATTCTCAGGAAAAATAAATAGACAATTATTGGGAATCCTTGTTTCCTGGTGGTTTGTGGCTCCAGTTAGAACCTTATATCCGTAGCAGAGATGTTATTTCTTCAGTCATGCTGCTGTTGAGTTTTTCAAATGTAAATTTTCAGAAAGCAACAGAATTTTATTTAACTCTATTGTATTAGGGTGGGGCAAACATTTCAAACTTTGACAAATTAATCTCAAAATATATGCATGGAATGATACCACTAAAAGGTAATATTGTGATCAGACCAGATTGTGTCAAGGTAAATTCACTTGAAATAGTGTGGGTAGGAAACTGTAGGAGCTAGCATTGGTATCGTGCTAACACAGCAAAAGTAAATTTTACAGCTTCCTATCCAGCATTTTATTGTCATTCCCTTCTATCAGTGTTAGTTCACCGTGCAGTTATATCAACAACAATCAATATTTTCCTAACAAGAGGTTAATCCCACCTCCTACCATATATCAAATTAGTAGACATTGTAGAGCCTTGCAAATTCACAGGCCAAAGTTTAATTCACTTCTCCGAGTCAACTAGCAGATGGAAATGTCAGTTTTGCAGGTATTTGATAACAAACCAAAGTATAGGAATGTTAAAATATTGACCTTATTAATGGCGCTAGGGGAGAAGTCAGGGGATTACCAAGGTTATGGCCATCTATTCTGAAGGGGACATGAATGCATGTGCCTAATTTCATGGCAGTCCATCTAACTGTTGACAAGACACCACAAATGCCAACTTCATTGTGGCGCAACTGGAAAAGTCAGGGGATCACAGAAGTCATTGAGATTATCCCTGAACCAGTAGTTGCTGAGAAATTTCATTTTGGACCAGAGAGCTAGCTTGGTTAAAAAATCTAAGTACAGGTTTTGTGTATTACATTGTCATAGTATGCCAACAAAACGACCCATATTTAAGCTCTTGTGTCCGCAGTCATTCAGCCCTCTGAAGTGTCCTTGAGCAAGACACTTGATCCTCACCAGCTCTAGCTGCACTCTTAACTCCCTTTGGAATATATTGTGGAAAGAGAATTCCTCAAGGGGGATCAATGAACTATCACATTGTTATTATCATCATCACACACTCCCTGCACAGAATGAAACTGCAGAGGTGTGTGTGTTAGAGGACGTATTCCAGCTCCACAGCCTTCTCCACCATCATGTTTACTACCTTATAAGTATTTTAATTTGTTTATGTGCAATTGGACAGACTGCAAATGCTCCTTGTGGTGACACCTTCTGGAAAGCCTTCTGCTCCAGTGTCTCCACACTGCTCAACATACTATATGTGGCAATAGATCAAGCACCTGTTTCTGCCTGTCACACCTGCACTCAAACCTCTGTGGCTCTTAGCTGGCCGACAGTTACAGATGACCATGCATCCAGAGGCTGATTCAGATGATGAATGAACGAGTCTGCTCGGTGTGTTACTTTCTCTCTCTTTCAGTCTTAAGATGAGCAGTGTGGAGAGTTATTATTAAACCACAGCATTTCTACAGCCTGTCCAGTGGTTGAGAACACTCTGCTCTGATTAAATAAACCAAGAGAGCACCACACACATTTCCTATTCTCGCTTCGTTTCCTACACTTTCTTGTTCTTGCGCTATTCTTTGTCATAGTTTTCATGTTCTCTTTTCATTAGCACTGACATCCATAAATTGAAAGCCGTGCTTGGGATCTTCAGAGCTGGCACAGCACCACTTTGCCGCGTTGACAAGAACTCAGAGACGAGAGCACAGGGAGAAACATTTACTCATTCTGTTTGGAGCAAAGGGGATGGGCTCCCTGCTTTTGCTCCCTTTGATTGTAATCCTATCTAGGCCAGCACAAGACACTGGAGACTTCATTCCCTGAATCTTCGTTTGCATGGATAAACAGGAGATGGGGTACAACGGTATAGAATGTTTTGCCTTTGAGCAAATTAAAAAAGCACTGCTATGCATCCTACAAAACCTTCATGCACATAAAAGTTGTTTCATTATTATTTCATTGTTGCTGTGTTATGTATAATGTTGTGAGGCAAAATGTTTTCCCCCACGTCTTCTGCTTCCCAGAATTCTATTTTTAAATAAGTGGTGTTCATAAGTTGTTGTTCTACTGATGCTGTTGGCACTAATGCCCATGAAGGAATGAAAATATACATCTTTATGCACTCAGTT